AAGTTAAGGGAGATCTGGTCGTGCCATGATGAGGGCAAGTTGCGTAGGGCTGAGCTCGTGACGAGAGAGTTAGAGGGTTTGTTTAGGGAGGAAAGAGAGATTATCCAGGCGTGGAGATCAGACTTTCTGGAAAGGGTAAAGGCTACGAGCRTATCACGCGAAGGGACTAGGGAGAGGTCTGCAGAGGGCGAGACAACGGAGGACAAGGTAACGCAGGGAGGTAGCGACAGGACATGAGCGGGACTGCGCTACACACGACGGATCGGTACTCATTGCATGCGGTAGGGAGACTGTACGGACCGTTGGTGTTAGTGATCGTAGAGCTCCAGCTCCATACCAGACTGTGCATAGTTAAGGAGGCAGATTGTGTCCAACGTGCGCTGCGTGAGGCTAGGGGGACAGGACTTTGGAGTGGAGTGGAAGGAGGACGAAGGATTAAATACGTACTTCGAGTRACACCACTCGAAGGSCGGTCTCGTATAAGRGCATGGTACGAGACGACCAGAGAGGCTGAGAGGTTGAAAATAAGCGAAGCCAGGAAGGCTGGAGAGCTAGGGAGAGTTGTAGCAGACAGTGCAATACTCAGGGTGCTAGTCGCTCACGATCGGTACTGGAGGGAATCGATAGAGACTTTAGAGGCCACAGAGGATAGTGGAGATGAAGAGGATCTTGAGACGTTCTATGATATATTGGAGCTGTCGRCAGTGAAACTACGAGCGGCTGTAGCACTGGCTACCCTCAGATGTTAGACAGGTGACCTCATAGCAGTCTGGGAGTAAAGGAGGAGAAATAGAGATTGGAAGCTCTAGGAAAGAAAGTGGAGAACAGAAAGGTCGTGGAGCGACATTGGATGGCAATAGGAGGGGAGCTTCCCCCTTTAGCGAGCTACCCGATTCAGGATGGGCTGGGAGATCTAGCAAGGAGGACAGAGATAGACGCTCAGAGGCTCTTGAGGGGTGCTGATCAGGAAATACTGGTTAGGCTTGGGACCTCGATCTGCCGCAGGAGTAGAGATCCTGTCACGGGTGTACTGCAGATCCGGAGAGGCGAGGCCTTGTTGACCGATCCCGAAGGAGAGGTTTACCTAGACACGGGGATTCTTGGGGTAGAAGGAGAGCACGAGATCCGCGACCGGAACCGAGTACTGGTGGTGGTGATCAGGGCAGTCGAGAGCTAGGGTTGGTGACGAGCGTGAACCGTGACAAGGAAACTGGTCCGGGCTGCGAGTTCTGTTACAGGTCCGGGCTGCAGCAACTGTCATAGGTCCGGGTTGTAACACCCGGCGAGAGTGCCTAACTGCGCCTTCAGGTGGCCTATGGAACCAGACGCGATGGGGCCACAACCAACTAAGGGTGAAGTGGGGGAGGAGTACACGAGATGGGCTGACCAAACCAATGACGGAGAGCCCGRCGTAATGGGCGAGCTGGTCGTGACAGAGYCGTAGGAGGCTCTAAAGACAGGCACCTCGAGCGGCCGACGAGAAGCGACGAGACGACGCTCCCCCGAGTATGAGCGGAGGGAAACCATGGCGGATTGGCACAGTGACGACTGGCGAGAGAGTTCGAGGGACTCCTATTGGAGGGACAGAGATAGAGATAGAGCACCGCCGCGGCGTGTCTTCGACCCCCAAACGGGGGAATCACACCCGCTCCCTTACGAGAGCAAGTATCGCTATATTATTACGCACAAGGCCTCAGAGCCTCCTACTTTCAGGGGTTATGGGATCACAGAATATCTGGAGAAGTGGGAGCTTCACGCCAGCCGGAGTCAGTGGTCGGAGGAAGAGATTATAAAGAACTTCCTATTTAATGCGGAACCAAGTCTCGGCAAGGAAGTCAAGGAAGCCCGGCCGAAGGATGGGAAATGGACTACGTACAAAAAGAATCTCGTTGAACTTTAAAAATTGGAGGATAACAAGTACTCCATCAAGGACCTTGAGATAATGATTCAAGATGAAGATGAGAGCGTAAGAGCATTTGTGATGCGTTTCCAGAAGATCTCCAACGTGCTGATGAAGAAGGGGAAGATCTCAGAGGTCGAGCGCTGTACTATCTTCATCGGACACCTGTCCAAAGGTAGACATAATAGTATACTTAGAGATCTTCCGCGCGACAAGCTTGACTTCCCAGAAGTCCTAAAGCTCGCAATAAAGGCAGAGGTAGACGACTACGAGGACTTGGTGTGGAGAGGGATGAGGAGACGTGACTTCTCTCTCTACAAGGAGTATGTCACTGATAGATGTCCTGATTTCAAGGATTATCCATGGTCGGAGAAGAATGAAGCTGTTGCCGAGGAAGTGAAGGAGATAAGGGACATGGTAAAGGGGTTGACAAGACACGTTACAGAGATTGTGACCACCACAAGAGCCACGACATACCGAGACATGCCCGGAGGACCCTATTCACTTCGCTGGGACCGGAGGAACACTGATTCCTGGAGAAGTGTCGAGGATAGAACTCCTCGAACGCTGACTGATTATCGTGCGAGGGAAAGAGAGAGAGACGATGAGCCATGGCGACGTAGGGATGATGAGATAGACTGGGACCACAGGACTCGCGAGACGTATGGGCGTGCTAGGAGACTGGATGACTACTCGCGTAACCCTCGTTATGAGGCCGATCGGGGTAGAGGCGACTCTCGAGGCCAGTGAGAGTCAGATCAGGGCCGACGAAACGGATACAGGGACAACAGATATGAGAGATCAGACCGGGATGGATATAGGGACGGAAGATATGAGAGGACGGGTTGAGATGGATACAGAAGTGGCGGATATAAGAGAGGAGATCGACCCGATGATTCACGCAGGCGATACGACCGAGGAGACCGACGTGATGATTCACGCGGGTGGTACGACCAAGGAGACCGACGTGATGATTCACGCGGGCGATACGACCGAGGAGACCGACGTGATGATTCACGCGGGTGGTTCGACCAAGGAGACCGACGTGATGATTCACGCGGGCGATACGATCGAGGAGACCGACGTGATGATTCACGAGGGCGATACGAACACGGAGACCGCCGCAATGACTCGCGGGGCAGGAATGAGAGGGGGATACGGCGCGTCGTCCGATCGGTATCGGAAGTCCCCTGACCCCAGAGCAGCGAGAGGTTCAACCTCCAGAGGCATGGACGAAAGGCCACCCACCCCCAGGAACTCTTGCGTCTACTGTAGAGGGGATGATCATATCAAGAGAGATTGCCCGGACCTTAAACGGGCAATAGATGAGGGGCTTGTCGTGCTTGACGACCGCAAGTACGTCAAGTGGGCAGATGATCTGGGAGATGTATCGATGTTCCCTTCGATGAAGGAGAATGTCGAAGCAAGGAAAGTAAAGCCGAGTAAAGGAAAGGAACCGGTCAGGGGTCAGAGCATCAAGATGACTTTTGAGGGGGATATGGCGACCACACCCATAAGGGTGGCAGCCACCAAGTCGGCGAGAGGATCTACATCGAAGAAGACTGACACGGATTACGTGATGGCAGAGAAGGACGGAGAACGGATCAATGGAGAAGAGGTTATTCTTTCGCCGCGGAAGCGGGGAGTGAAGAAGTTTTTGATGAAGAGTTCGCTGGATGAGATTGACACGGTCGAGCTACTGAGGCGGGCCCTTCGGCAGCCCATGTAGTGCTCTATTTTAGAATATCTGGCGGCATCCAAGCGGGCTCGGGATGAGTTACAGATGATCACGCAGAAGACTCGCATACCTCTATCAAGGGAGGCTCAGGGGGGCCCTAAGGCGGATGTTCCTACTGTAGCAGTAACGGGGGTGACTGCCAGAGCGGATTGCATGGCAAAAGTCCTTCTTGATGGGATGGAAGGTGTGCCTCCAGACAAGTTTTACATACTTTGTAGTGGGTTCGTGGAGGCGATCATAAACGATGGAGCGGTACTAGATGCTGTGATCGATAACGGCAGTGAGGCTGCCATTATAGACGAGCATCTGGCAGTACAGGTTGGACTGGGCCTCGATAGGTCATTACCTATTCGAGATAGAAACGGCTGATGGGAGAAAGCAACAGATCACCGGGGTTTGTCACAAGGCAGCCATAGAGGTCYAAGGCGTACGAGTGACCCTGYCGGTCTTTGMAGTCAAGAACTGCARCTCTGATCTGCTCTTGGAACGAACGYGGTTGAGCCACGTGCATGCGGTGACGATAGAGCGACCGGATGGGARCCAGACATTGTTCATTAAGAAGCTAGATGGGACGCAGGTTATGATTGAGACAGTGGAGCCTCGGGACCCGAGGAACAGAGCARCTCTCGCTGTGGGTGCAAGACCCAATGATCAGATTAAGTCATTACCTATCTCCGGCCGCACGGTGCGATTTCGCGAGAAGAAGTATGGACCACTGCTCACAGAGGAAGAAGGTCGGATCGTGGAAGTGGAAGGTTTAGGGAGTCGGCTGATAGTGGACGGCAACTCGTACCCAAAGGAGACAGATGAGGAATTTGGCGGTGTGGTATCTGTGTCTTTTTTAAGGGCACGGCCCTCTATGGGGGGCTACCCAAGCGACACAAGCGAGTTGCTCAAAAAGTTAAGCCAACGGCGGTGGGCCGCGAGTGATCTGCACTGGAAGAGATATCGGAAGAAGAGATCGCAAAGGAAATCAAAGAAAGAAAAAAAAAGAAGCCGCAACGCCAAACGGAAGAGAGAATAGCAGGGATGGAAATCGGAGATGGAAATTTGACCCCACAGAAGCGAGAACGTGTGATAGAGATCCTAAAAACGTGCGATAAGGCTATAGCCTTCAGCGACGCGGAGCGCGGTAGGGTTGACCCTCGATACGCAAAGCCAGCAAGGATTTACACGATTCCATATATTCCTTGGAATGACGCAGGATGGAAATACGCCAAGCAGGAGAAGGAAGAAGTTGTCGCTTTCGTGAAAGAAAATATAGTTTTCCATGTTGCGGAGCTGTCTGATAGCGCCTATGCTAATCGATGGTTCTTCCTATGAAAGCCGAATGGCAAGATCCGATGGATCCAGGACCTTCAAAAGGTCAACGCGGTGACGATACGAGACGTGGGCTCTGTGCCACACGCCGACTTACTGGCCGAAGGCAGGTCGATTTATTCGGTCAGTGATCAATTCTCAGGCTATGATCAGGTACCGCTTAATCCTAGGGACAGGCACCTCACGGCTATGCACACGCCATTGGGACTGATACAGATGATGGTTGTCCCTATGGGTTGGACTAATGGGGTAACCGTTTTCCAGAGAGTCATGGTAGTCGTCCTCAAGGACTTCATCCCTTATAAGGTGAAATTTTTCTGGATGACTTTCCTATAAAAGGGTCAGTAAACAAGGATGAGATAGAGGTTGTACCAGCACCTAACATATATTTGCGCGGTACTTGAGCAGCGAGACAATGCGAATTTAACGGTCAGCGGGACAAAGAGTCGATGGACCGTCTCGACTATTAAGATCTTGGGTTATATTTGTGACTCGAGAGGACGCCGAGCAGATCCAGCGAAGCAAGACAAACTTCTGAACTGGCCGTCACCGTTACATAGTCCAACCGAGGTCTGACAGTTTATGGGAGTGGTCGGTTACTGGCGTATATTCATACGAGGGTATGCGGAGAAGGCTGAGCCATTGAGGTTACTCCTTCGAAAAACTGAGAAATTCTACTGGGATTCCTCGCAGGAACTCGCTATGCAAGAACTTAAAGACGAATTTAAGGAGGGAGGACGCGTATTGGGCGTGCCATTCTTTGATGATGAGGCTGGGAGACCCTTTATAGTATCCACGGATGCTGGACCTTGTTCAGTAGGTGGATTATTGTCTCAAAAGGATGTTGGAGGGAAGGAAAGACCGTTAAGATTTGAGAGTAAAACACTTAATACGGCTGAGCGTAACTACAGTCAATTCAAGAAGGAAGTGTTACCTGTTCTGCGGTGTCTAGACACGTTCGGACACTATATCTATGGGCGGCGGTTCATCTTGAGAGTAAATTCCACCGTGGTTGCCTCTGTCCTCCAGAAGGACTTTAGTCTGACGGACCCGACCATCGCTCGATGGTTAATACGGATTCGGCTATATGATTACACAGTTGAGAGGATATCTGGCACTAAGAATGTCGTGGCGGATGGGCTTTCRCGYATCCCTCTTGAGGCCGAGCGCCCGAYAGTAGTTGGTGCCCTGACAATGRCGGAGCCGAGACGCGCTGAGCGATTTCTGGTTAACCTTTACGAGGGCAAATACCAAACGATCGGGCTACATTTGTCAGGGGAGAAAATCCAAGAATYAGATATCCGGAGACAAGCGGCGCAGTACTGCCTTAGAGCCCGACATCTATTGCAAAGACCGRCCGGCTCGGGGATGCCCTTACAAGTAGTWTGTGACCCTGAGGAGAGACAAACGATARTTGTAGAGCTTCACGACAGGGTAGTCGGAGGACACAGGGGAGTCAAAGGAACCTACGAAAAGGTACGCAGGTTGTACTGGTGGAGGTCGGAGGACACAGGGGAGTCAAAGGAACCTACGAAAAGGTACGCAGGTTGTACTGGTGGGAAGGACATTATAAGGACGTTGAGATACTGTATAACCTGCGAGGAATGTCAGAAGAGAGCTCTTGTGAAATACAAAGAGCCTCTCCATCCATCCTATTCCACTAGACCAGGAGAGAAGGTACACATCGATCTGGTGAAGATGCCGAAAGGAGTAGGCAATATGATCTACGTCGTGAACATACGAGACGATTTCACTGGGTTCGTGGACGGTAGACCTATCAGGAGTAAGACGGCAAAGGAAGTGAAGAACTTCGTCCTGGAGTACTTAAGACGGCAAAGGAGGTGAAAAACAAACGAGACGATTTTACTAGGTATGGTTGTGTCAGCAAGATAGTGATGGACAGAGGGGCGGAGTTTCTAGCTGACGAGGTTTAGAGTGTGTTTAAGAGAGTTGGGGCGAGAGTTTCGATAGCCACCGCCTATCACCCACAGTCGAACTCCCCAGTAGAGAGGGGTCACCAGACTCTAATARCGTCATTGTCCAAGTGGTGCAAGGGTAAGGACAGTGATTGGCCACGATATTTTCGATACACAATATSRGCGGACAACGTCACGATCYGGGCTAGTACCGGATACCCACCGTACACCTTGTGGTTTGGGCGRCATTKTCCGCTCYCCATAGAGTTTCACGTCGACAGCTGGACAAAAGTCGACTGGGCGGAGGAGATGTCCAGAGAGGAACTCATAGCTACCCGAACAAGACAGATAGCCTACGGTTTGGAAGATAACCTTATGATAKCGGCAAATCGTCTGGCARTGGAAAGGGACMAAGGTAAAGAGAGATGGGATAAGAACGTGAGGATCAGGAAAGAGAGGGTGAGCGTAGGAGATATGGTCCTTCTCTACGAYGCAGCGCTGGAAAGGACCTRGACYGGAAAACTCGCCAACAGATGGATGGGACCTTACAGAGTGGTTGAGACACTCGACTGGGGAGCATATATGATAGCAGAATTGGACGGATCCAAGTGGAAGGACCCAGTGGCGGGTGTTAGGCTAAAGCTGTTTAGACCCAGGCCTGCACCCAACTTATCACTGACAAGCCCGAAAGGGAAAGGAAAAGCCAACATGGAGGATGGAGCCCTCTTGAGATGATTCGAGGCAGGGGAAAGTTCCAAGAAGAGAAAAAGAGTGGAGAGAAGAAAGGTCAAAGGATTGGTATTAGGGAGAAAGAAGAAATGGTTATTCGTGCTCAGGAGGGCCAGACGGAGAGTACGCATCAGACAAACTGGCGGGACGGCACCCTTCTCAGGCCAACGACAGAAGGGAAAGAGGATCCTACCAAGGCCGAGAACCCAGCGGAGAAGGAAAGTAAAAAAACATCTACTTAGCCCTAGAACTCAAAACAGACTAAAACATAAGACAATTGAACGCCGACGTGGGCGTCCCTTACGGGTAATCACCCTGAAGCTTGTCCGCTTTGACTGACGAAAGTGGTTAGGGCTCGACGGGGGCGTCGAGAAGTGGTCCGGGCTAACTGTCAGGCGGCCACAAGCAGTGCGCCGCCTAAAATCTGCGATTTTGGGACTTAGGCTCAAGGGCAAGTTCGTATTTTGACGGTACTCTGGTTTGACCGGGCAACAGAAATTAGGGGAACTCAGGGTACCCCTGATTCTGGGCACACTGAACCTTACGACTAACCCTCAAAGATAACGAGATGGGTGGGCGCACTCGGCGTATCTAGAGACCGTTAATTCCGGCCGTTCAGAGGGCTGGAGCCGGATTGGTCTGCCTCGAGGAGACATCGTGGGAGCAGACCTCGCCGCGACACTTTTGCAACATACGACCGGGGCCGAAATGAGGCCTCGAATTTTTGTCTATCTTAGTGTCATAATTAAAGATGGGGAAAAATGATTATAACCAGTAGGGGAGAAGGAAAAAACATAATATCCTTTAATTTCTTTATTTTTCACGGCATTTAATTCTAGGGGGAATATCCTTGATATTTTATGTAACCGACAATGAAATTAAAAACACAGAAAAAAATTAAAAATGRAAAAAGARGTATGAAACAAAAGGAATTCRGCCATTTATTTAAACTCACTTGGAATTTAATTTTGCGGAATTTACRGTTAATTTACTATTTCAGACAATAGAATTAAGGAAAACGCAGAATGATTAAGAATGATGAAAGGGGACGGAAACCCATGACTAATGGGAGATCGGCCTAATTTCGCTGCGATTACTCGCCATCGGCTCTGACCCCGGATTGATCTTTTTCCCCGATTCTAACAGTATTCCCTACTGCCGGCAGYCGAGGATCCCTACGTYGTTTTCCCTGGGTCGC